GGTTTGGGACGTCCTTCGTTGCGGTGCTGTGACGTATGCGGCCGACAAATTCAACCTTCGGAGGACCCGTCCTGTTGTTTTGGACACAGCCATTGTCCAAGATTAACCTTCAGGGTGGATATAGCTCGCTAGCAGCCTCGCACCGAGGACCTATCCACGTCATCATTTACCCAGAATGCTTTGTGTGCAAATAAAATGGCCCCGTCCGTGTTAAAATATATTTCTAAAAATAATAAAAACCGAACATCCTACAGTATTTTTACAGTCTTTATTTTACAGTTAAAATAAATGTATATCAAATAAAGTCTAATGTTACAACTGATCATAGATCCCTTTAAACATAAACATAATTTTTTWAATTTGATTTTATTCTGATCTTTGTTTATATGTTAATCTAAATTATTRTACTGTGTCTTAATGGATTATATGTTGATCAATGCATTTATGTTTATGTATTTATTAGTTCARGCTGTAACTTAATGTTTCTGTGGAACACTTACACATGTTTAAAATAAGCATGAAAGATGAACTTTAAACAAAATAAAAGAGAAAATGTTATAAATTTGAGTTTATTTTCATTAAGACAGAAACAATCAAAATAAAAGCTCCTCTTCCTCCTCCTGCTGGCGGCTTCTGGGACTGCAGCTTCTGTTTCTCCTTGGACAGAAGGTTGAAGGGCAGTGCGTGTGTGTGTGTGTGTGTGTGTGTGTGTGTGTATGTGTGATTTTGTTCCCTTTTTAGAACATTGACTGGTCAAACACACCTTGTTAAGACCACCAGTGTTTCTGTGGATCAGAGGTCCGGTTCAGGTCAGAGGTCAGACCACAGAAAGGACCAGATGCATCAGATCGTCCTGAGAAGGTCTGAATGTTCTGAGTCGCTGTTCGAGTCCTGAGTTCAGTCCAAACCACCCAGGTCCCAGGTCAGAAGGAGCAGTGTTTAGTCACTAATGACTCGAGTCGACACCTGTGGGACTGAGAAAAACTTAAACTTAAGATTTTTACTAATTTATATTACATTTTTCTGAAGTGTTGAGTTGTTTGTAAAATTTCACAGCTGCAAAACCTGAGATCCACATAATTATCTTCATCAGAACCAAATATTTGGAACTTTTAAAGTCATAACTGCCATTTTGTTTTTATTGAGTTAAAGCTGTAAAGGTGAGTCTGTGTTGGAACCACCTGTTTTAATGCATCAGATTATTGATAATTAATGATAAAAAATAAAATCACTTTCTGTTTCTGTTAGCAGATTTCCTCTGACTGCAGCAGCTTCATCATCATCGTGTAGGCGGAGCCTGGAGATGAAGGACAGTCCACCTGAAGGACGTCCCTCAGAGTCTGACCTGCTAACAGAACCAGAGGTTCTGAACCAGGCTTCAGTTTAAAACATGAAAGTATTTTATCTGAGATTCTATAATACGTTTTGTTTAAAAGTTGTTAAAATCAAACTTGAACAGATTTTAAGATGTTTGTTTTCATAAGGAGTCTGTTAAAAGCTTATTTTATCAGCTTTAACGACTTGTCTGCTCTGATTGGTCGGCTCAGGCTCCGCCCACTCGTTTATTACAGCTCTACAGAAATTTAATAAACTGAACAAAGTTTGGAAAAAAGCTCTGCAGCAGCTAGAAGAGTCAGGAAGATTTAAAGGTTTTTAAAGGAAGTTACATTTCAAAATAAAAGTGACAGATCAGAGAGTGTGGGTAAAAAATACTTTATAAAGAAACACGAACAAAATGTTACATTTATCAGCTTTCTTTCAAATTAAACTCTTATCAAAAACATTATTTTATTTAAACCAGGGGTTCTCAAGCCTTTTGGGCCTGGGGACCCCTGACAAGGGTGAAAAACAATTCCAGGGACCCCCTCATAACCCCCCTGCTGTTTTAAAAGATAATTTATTGTCATTTCAACCCATAAATGCCATGGGAATATATATTTTATTAAGTTTATTGTATTTGTTTTATTAGTTCATTGTTCTCCATGCATTGTAAAAAAAATAAAAACCAAATTAACAGTTTAGGGAAATCTTTTGAGGACCCCCAACCTACCCCTTGCGGACCCCTGGGGGTCCTGGGACCCCAGTTTGAGAACCTCTGATTTAAACTGTTAAGTTTTATTTGGTCACTATCAGGCTTCCATATGATGTAATTATTGTGTTTCTATGTTTTTAAATGTGTGAAGGATAGAAATAGTGTCATTTATTTCCACAGGCAGCCTTTAGATTTGATGCTTAATCTGTAATTTCTCTTTCTACCCGGATTAAACGGGTTCATGTCGCGAGGATTAAAATAAAACTGATGATGGTTTATGCTAATTTTATTCTGACGCTGCAGACATGAAAGGAAATGAGAAAACCCTTCCTCCGTGGAGGACCCACGCGCAGCGGCCTCCAGCCGCTCAGCGGCCTTCTCTGGAGCCGCAGACCGCCACTGCGCCACCCCGGGGCGGCCGCGGGCAGCAGCTCGGCCCGCTCGCTTTCCTCCACCTTCAMACGACAACAAAAGCGGCCCCGCCCTCCCAACATTACCGTAAAACCGGAAGAAGGAGCGCAGCGGCTTTTAGGGGGAGTGTCGCCGTGCTGCGGCACGCGCTGCTCAGGGGGAGTGGAGGGGGGAGGGGCAGTGATGTAATGCTGAAACCCAGGACAAAACACCCGAACAGAACCACACACCATAGGTTCGGTTACCCGAGCCTGTTTTATCCGTGAGCTGTTTGTAATTTATTAAATTATATTTAAGTTGTATTTTGTTTACTGATAACTGTTCCTACAGACACTAACTCGTTTTTAAAAAGCTGTTTAATTTAAGAGGATTTGACAGATTTTTAAAATTCATCTGATGGAGGATTTGTTGAGGACGGAGCRGTTTTCCCGCTGAGCTCATCTCTGAAGCCCCTCAGAGTAAAACACAGACAGGAAATGTGACATTTGGGAATTACTGGTGTTGTTTTCTGAAAGCCAAAATGGCGTTTGTTTCTCGGACATGTGGGCGGGAAAATGCCGCCGCGCAGCTCCTCGGGTCTTTACGGTAGCCGCTCGGAACACACGCGGAGCGGCAGCGACGTGGAGCGAACAGCCGCTGCCGGACGAGCCGAGCCGAGCAGCCGCCGGAGCAGCGCACCACCCGGGGACAGACCTTTACCCAGTCTACGGTCCGGATCTCAGGGCGGGGAGCGGGCTGGGGTCGGCCACAGGAGAATGAGACAGCCCCCCCCAGCGAAGGGGCCGACAACATGAACGGGGCCGTGTACATTTCGTTTTTCCAGGGCCAACTGGAGTCCGTGCTGGAGCAGGTCGTGCAGCTCGCCGTCCAGGAAATCAGCAAGACGGTGGGCTCCAGCCTGAACGCCCTGCTGCTGGAGACGGCCGCCAAGGAGAAGGAGAACAACCGGCTCCAGCTGCAGCTGCAGGCGCGGGACAACCGGGCGCGACCCTCCGCGGAGGACGGAGGCTCCGCCGCGGCTGCTAAAAACAAGGCTGGCGCGGAGCGCGGGGACGGCGGCAGGACAAAGCCCGAGCCACGCGGTCACGGAGCGGAGCCCTCCGTGCCCATCGACACCCGCCGCCTGGAGCAGAGAGGCCGAGCCGTGGGTAAGCGACCGTTCGACGGCACACCGAGACCCAAACAAACAAACAACCCGCCGTGGAGGCGTTGCGTAAGCTGCGGCAAGCTCCGCGTAAACACCGAGGCCCGCAGGTGGTCGGACCGCGATCCGCGGGTTTTCCTGTCATCTTCACCCCGGCCCAGGCACCTCAGAGGGCGGGCATCAGAGCGGCCTGACCCCCGGAGCCTGGAAGCGTCTTTAACAACAACAACAACAACAACAACAATACAGAAACACAACAACACAGAAACACAACAACACAGAAACACGGTCACAACAACAACAACAACACCGTGGCCTAGTTTCCTCCCACAGGATGTCTGAGACACAGGTCCTCTGACTGGACCGGTTCTGGAGGACGGAAATGTCCTTAGATTGGACCGGTTCTGGAGGACGGAAATGTCCTCTGACTGGACCGGTTCTGGAGGACGGAAATGTCCTTAGATTGGACCGGTTCTGGAGGACGGAAATGTCCTCTGACTGGACCGGTTCTGGAGGACAGAAATGTCCTTGGATTGGACCGGTTCTGGAGGACGGAAATGTCCTCTGACTGGACCGGTTCTGGAGGACGGAAATGTCCTCTGACTGGACCGGTTCTGGAGGACAGAAATGTCCTTGGATTGGACCGGTTCTGGAGGACAGAAATGTCCTCTGACTGG